CGTTCCATATGATAACACACCACGGCCCTCCCAGATGGGGGCTTGCAACAAAAAAGGCCATCGCTGCAGCGAGGGAAAACCTCCTTGTGATCTCTGCTCTCTGTGCAGCAGATGACAGCCAAAGAATATGTTGATTATTCTGTTTGTGCTGCTAAGCTCGTAAGGTGGAATGAAAGCGATATGATCTACGGCGAACCCCGTGCTAATGTGGTTGCCCCCGCTCATAAATAATATACGGGATTTATTCCGGGGCTTATCTTTTTTTTTATCTGAGTTCCAGGTTTTAAATGCACAAACTAAAACAGAAGGCCAGCACAAACTATTATTTAATTTGATGGTTTAAAGTAAAAGATACGGCTGACACAACAATAAGTGAGAGAGCTGACTACTCAGTGAATTAAATAGGTAGAGGTGCCTTTTTCCAATTACATGCCGAGGTGCAGAGAACCTGCAAGGCACTGAGCACACTCCAGCCCCACAAACTGCACAGCCACTGACCCCAAACACATCACCAAGCAAGGCCCTTATGGCTTATTTTTACCACCCCAAATTCAAATTTCAAATGAGGACACAAGTACTTGGAAAGCAGAAGAACAGTACAGAAACAATAATTGTATAACCTCACTAATATTGTATCTCCCTGAACTGCCTTCTCAAAAACTATTTAAGTTTTGAGTAAGTGATCAGATGTTTTTTCATCCGAATTTACTAACTTGGTTTGTTCCAAAAGCACAGAATTTGGCTTGCCCTTCCTTCCATAATACACTGCTTTTCTAAAAGGAAAATCAGGGAATGGTCACACAGCTCCTTCCACAGACACTTTGTGCGTGCTTTGTGAGAAGACTGATGATCTTCCTACAGTTTCATGTTTGTGACTAAAAAAAGCTCAATTACCTTTCTTCCTTTGCTAGGGACGGTGTCACAGCTCTGAACCACAGAAATAATGAAAATATGGCTACTGATGACACACCCATGTTCTAATGAGCCTCAAGACTAAAAATTCAGATGAATTACTCTCCCACTGCAATGAAATAACACATAAATACTATTTTCATACAGGACCAAGACAGGACCTTGAAACAATCAGTGAAGCTGACTGCCACCACAACCTCAGGTGCTTCCATTTACACCACAGTGGTAAGTTATTCTGCAGTCACCAGTTACAGTATTATCATTTTTAGGACCTTGATGATATTTATTTTCAGCTTCTAAAACTTTAAATGTTGATTTCTTTTTATTCCTCTTACCAGTGTCATCTCACACAAAATGCAAAATAGCACCTGGGGAGGAAAAAAATGGTAACAGCCATGAAACTCAGGCATCTTCTTGCAATACATCCATATTTCTATAAACAAACCTTTCCTTACATTCTTATGAAATGCATCTAATAAAAAGGTTTCAGCAACAAAAGAAACTTCCAGCTAAGATCCCAGCACCAATAATATGTGAGCTAGCCAAAGCTAACTCCAGTCAACACTAACTTCAAAGCATTACCGAGTAGCAGGCTCAGTACAGATGTAAGAAGCTGAATTTACTGAGATAAAGAATGACAGTTTGCTAAAATACAGCCTGGCTACAAAAACCCCAGATATTCAGTGTTTTCTGCCCCCTCCTTTTTTGTTAATCACAATATTATTCCAAATTTGGAACAACATGAGTTTCCTTAAGTAGCCAGCAGTGAACCTGGCTTTACAGTGAGTTTTATTAGATTGCTGGCCTGGGTTTTACCCAACTTTATATAATTCCCACCAAAAAACCCCAATTTTAATTCCTGAACCACTTAAAGGCCAAAATGACCCTTTTCTTCATCCACCTCTCATTGACCTGTTTGCCATTCCAGTCCCATCTTCTGAAGGGCAGGCAAGGCTCTGGTCTCTGTGCTCAGAGCAGGCAGAGTTCCACAGCTCTATGGGATTACTGACTGCAGCACATCCTGGTCCATCCCCCCTCTGTGGATGGTCCCACTCCCATGGAACCAGAGGGAAGCCCGCTGGATACGCCTGAACGTTCCAGTGACTCTGCAGGAGTTTGTCCTCATGAAACCTGAGGGTTGTACAGTTTTGAAGTCACTGGCCAATATCCCTCCTTGGGAAAGCCAGCAGGTTTCAGTAATATTATACTGTACAATTTCATCATCTGAAGCTACAGAAACATTAACCAACTTCTTAAATGATTTATTGTCTTCAGCACTTACTACTTTAACCCCTGGCTCCCAATTTACTTCCATTGTAAAAGAGCTGTTTAAATTTGACACAGGTTAGGTTTAAATATTTTTTTTTTGCTGTTGTTCAGTATAACCCACAGGGATGCATTTGGTAACATCCAGAGGATTTCTGAATAAAATCATATCATGTTTTATATAATATCATACAACTGGTAAGTCTTAAACCCTCCCACTAANTTGGTGTCAGAGCTTCCAGGATTAAACATTCTTTCCAGTTGTTGGCTCATGGCCTGAAGATCCCGCACTTTCAAACTTATCCCATTCTGGCTGGTTCAAAGATCAGGAAAATGAAGCCATCTTCTTTGCAGCCGTAATCCACGCCCCATGCTGTTCGATACTTAAGAACATCTCCAAAGCAAACTACCTTGTTTCAGCTCCCAGCAGGAGCTCAGCAGGGCTCTGGATCACATGACTGCAAACCCAGCCCGGTCAGGTGACTCGGGAGCTAATCTGATTTGGGGGACTATAAAACTTTAATCAGTACAGTCTAATACCATCACATTCCAGAAGTGATGAGAGGAGCAGCTTGGAGAGGTAACAGCAAACAAAACTAATAAGGATTGTGAATCAGAGCTGCCACAGGATGTGGTTTTTTAGTTCTCTATCCCATACACAAACCCAACAGAAAAATACTACTGAGAGCTGGTCAGGCAGAGAGGGTTTGAAATAAAACTTCCACCAGCTCTGCAGGCTACAGCTTCTGAAGAGAAACGCCAAACATACCTGCAGATCAGATTCCAAGCATGCCCTTTTCCCAAATGTTCTGACTGCTCTCTCACCCACCTTTTGGAAACTGGACACATGAATATAAGCAAACTTTTAATATCATCCAGAAAGACTGAAAAAGCTATTATTATTATTCCTGAGAATGAAACACTACTGACTTAAAAACACTTAAATGAACTCCATAAAATTAGTTTCTTCTCTATTTGTCTGAAATGAAATACAGGTAGTCAGATGTGGTAAGCAGTAATTTTATAAGCAAATATTAAGTTTTACAGCTTTATTGTATCAAACTGTTAAAATTTAAAAAAAAAAAAAAAACTTGGAAAAATAGCTTATTTCCACCTGTTTTCTAAATCAGTAGGACTTGAACTGTACCCATCATGTCAAAGAGTGCCAGGGGAAAAATGAGCATCACAAACAGAACTACTGCCATGTTTTAAACGTTCGCTTCTTATACTGAAAAAAAAAAAGTTTCTACTTTCCCATTATTTTTATAATATCTGAAACACTCTGTCCTGTTACAAGTTACATTGTAAGAGACAGTTTCTCTGTATTTTAGAAGGACCTCAAGTGACAAAATTTGCAACAAAAATACCACTTTGTTTGAAAATCGGTGAAATTCTGAAATAGCTGCAAGGTCCCACCCCCACTGTGTGTCTATGCCCTTTTCCATAAAGCATCAACTCAGCGGGATGACATAAAATTAAACTATTAAGAAGACCAATCAATAGTTCCAACTCAGATATAAAATAAGAAATAAAATAAAGGAAAAAAAGTCTAAAAACTACACATCAGTCAAAGAGCAGTGAGAAATGGAAGAACCAAAGAGCGGGCTCAGCCCTGGGTGTGTATGTTTACACCTGTCTTGTAAAGTTAACACAACTTTGTTTATTTATTTATTTTTATTTAAAAAACAAGCAAGGAAATACTTTGTATTTCACCAAAGTAACAAAAGGAAATTGAACTGCTGGAACGGGGGAGAAAACATCCCTGAGATTGAGTGCAGGGGGTCAGTCATTTGATTCCCTCTGAATCACTGGGTCAGCAGTGACTTAGCCAAGACATCTCCGTGGGGATAGAAGCTTCTGTAACAAAGTTCTCCAGTGGATTTTTTGTTAGTCTTTCCTATTGCTATACTCACAACCCATTAGTCAAGATATTAGAGGAGTTAAATTTAATAGGTGTATTTATGTCTTGCCATGTTTTCAAACGTGCCCTTCGATCTTCTCCCCTAAAGGCAGATACTTCTCACACTGAACAATAAACTATTAAAGACATTAAGACAAAATATTAAGACAACCCATTGATACTCACGGCAAGAAATCTCAGAATGATCACTGCTTAATTCTAAAGAAGCTTGGCCAGCAGCACAAGGAATGCCATTTCACTAGGAAAGCATAATACTAAAGCTTCATGCTCCTGAATTCCAATTAGATATGAAGGAAAAACTCTGAGGTTCAGGACTGCCCACCCATTTGTTGCCCTTTCAAGCTGCTCATATTTAACATGAGGATTTATCTTTTTTTCCCCTTATTAACATAAGCAAAACCACAGGTGTTCAGAAACGCGGCTTACAATGGCAGCAAAAACTGTTCGTTGAAATTAAAGTGGGAAAGTGAAGAACTATAATGCTAGAACCTCACTTTTATATTCTCCTGTGTACAAATGCCTTCAAGCAGCTCGAGACGCATCTGAATCGCCAACAGATGAAAAAGAAATATAAGAACACTTGTGACAGTGGCTATCCTTTATACTGACAGGGTTTTCTCTCACATTCAGAGCAATACAACACAGAGCGTTCACTGCCAAAGCAAAAGACAAACTTTAATGTCTTTAACTTTGCCTACCCCAGGTCTTGGGTGCAGGGCCACCACAGTGATGCGATATCTGGCTGCCAAGTTAAGGTATTGAACCGCGCCTTTATTTACGTGCCCGCGGCTGTTTACAAACAGGCCGGGGACCCTCGAGCATACTCACTCATTTTACCTTACACGCAATAACGTTTAAAACACGTTTCACAAGCAGCTTTTCCTCCCGGGCTCATTTACGAATGGGCCGATGCCGACAAGGGTGTGGAGCCCGTCTCCTCACCCCGCTGCGCCCCCAGCCCCGCGGACTCCCCTGGGAGAAGGGGGGAGCCCCCCGCAGCACCCGCACCGCGCCCCCCTCACGCCCTCAGCCCCGTGCCCTCAACCCCGACCCGGTTCTCACCTCCCCGTTCGCCGCCGGGCGCTTCAACCCTTACCCGCCCCTCCCTCCCGCCACCTGCCAACACCGCGGCCTCCCATTGGGCGGCGGTGCCCGGAGCCGCGCTGCCATTGGCGCAGAGCGCAGCGCGGGGCCCTCCCACAGTGCCCGGCCGGTGCCGCCGCCGCTGCCCGCACCCGACATGGCGGCGGCCGGCGGGGCGCGGGGCCGCACCAGCTTCCAGCGCCGGGCCGGGGCCGGAGCCCGCCCGGCCGGCCTGCCGGGCACCCGGCCCGCGCTGCGGCACGGGCAGCTGCTGCTCTCCAGCGGGCTGCCCTCCCTCGACTGTGTGCTAGGTTGGTGGGAGCGGGACCGGGACCCGGCGCTGCCCCCTCCCTTCCTCCCCCCCACCCCCCCCCCTCCCTCCCCCGTGCTGGGCCTTGCTCCCCTCCGTGACCCCGCGGCGGCTCCCGCAGCTCCCGGGACTGGGGGGAGGACGGGGGGGAGGAGGAGGAGGAAGGGGCAAGGTAGGGTCCGCTTCCCGGGAAGGAGGGTAGGATTGCCATGCCCTGCCCCGCGGAACCCCCGGGCAGCGCGCCCCGCTCCGCCCTCGCTGTCACGGCAAGGGCGCTGCAGGGCTCGGCTTTGAGAGCCGCGCTCGCTGCATTAACGCTTTAGGTGTGGTTGCGCCTCTCCGGTGCGGGATGTGTCGGACTGGGCTCTCTGTCGCGGCTGCAGCGTGGAAATGCCCCGTCCCGAGGAGCTGTTCCGGCTGCGCCTCTGCCTTTGCCTGCTCTCAGTGTCAGGAGAGTCCCGTGGACTGAGTTGTTGTGGCTATTGATGTGTGATCATCTGTGGCGTGAACTGGCACCTTTATGGGATTGGGAACTAATTAATTTCACCGTTTGATCTGTGTACTCTGATCCTTTGACTAACTGCTCACTAAGCGCATCTATAAGGGTGCATCAATGTACCTCAATTACTTTTAGGTAGTTTAGGTACTTTAGGTTAGTTCATTCATCCTTGGAGTACATGGATATATGAATATACCGCTTTTTTTTTTTTTTTTTCCTAAGGGTATTCTCTGTGAGTAATGATAAGTCTACAAGTTGTATCCATTTTATAAAGAACTTTTTGCAGCCTGTGTATCGTTTGTTTGTTTGTTTATGAGTGTCTGCCCTTTCATCAGGGGTCAGCATCCTTGTGGAGAAGGCTCTTCCTCCTTTAAGAGAAAAGTATTTCATTGAGTGTAATTTGTGAAACCCTTTAATTGCAGAAATAGAAGGTTTGCTTTGCAAGTTCCAGTTCTTCCTCATATTCCCTTTTATAAACAGTGGATTTCTCACAGCGTGGCTTAGAAGATGTGGACAGCTCCCTTGGTGGCAGTCTCCTAAATTTCCGGCACTTGCACACACAGTTAGTGGTTTGTCGTGGAAAACGAGGACACTTTCAGTGAACTCTAAAAAGTACATTTTCCTTGTCTTTTAAATATTTAGTCATTCCCTGACCTTGCTAATTTTTATACTTAAATATCAAGGAAGCTTTTCAACCCTAGGAATAGCAACTTGTAAATATTCTTTTAGGTAGTTTTCGGGTTTTGGCATCTTTGAAAAGCTGTAAAACTGCATTCCTGTGTAAACCTTTGGTAAGCTGCTAGCCCTTGAATCACTGATTTCTGGGGGCTGGGTGGGTAGGCCAGGCAAGACTTGTGCCAAACCTGGTGACTATAAAAAAAGCTTCCAGTGGCTCCTGGTATTAGGCATTGTTGGAGACAGACCAGCTGTACCATCTTGGGTTATTTGCCCCATCTTGGTTCCCCTCCACTGGGCTCATTTCAGTTTATTTCTCACTTCAGCTTATTTTTGGTTCTTTCTTGTACTGAGTGTCTCAAAACTGAACTTCATGTTCCAGGTGTGATCTAAAGAGTAAAGGGGATAATCCCATCCTTTGCCCAGCTGACTGAGCCCACTGTGCTGGTTGAAGTGTTGTGCTTGGCCTCCTTCCTGTCGTTTGTGTGTGTGTGTGTGTGTGTGGAAATGCTTCATAAACGTGTTGCAGAATGCAGTTCATGTGTTTCTTAAAGACTGCTGTTGCTTTCCTTCTTTTGTCTTGCCCACTGGCAGTTAAATAATTGACTGCACAGAATATTTAATTTTTATTGTCACCGGGGACAGAGGACAATCCTTTTTTTGTGGGGGACAAATTCCCAGTGGAAGTTACCACAACCTCTCTTAGTCTGGTGTTTTTCATAGGCGTATTTTTTGATAGTCAGCGGAGCAGTCTTCTAAATCTCTGGCTTAGGGCTTGAATTGAAGTTTGCCTGGTTGACATCTGTAACCCAGATACAACATTATTTACCAGACATGAAGATAAAGCTTAGGAGTGAGTGTGAGCGTGGTGCTATCAGACACAGGTGGAATGAGGAGCTTCTGAAGAGAGGAAAAGGCAGAGGACACAAGGAGTAATTCCTTTTACCCTGCAGCTAGAGGCTGCTTGTTGTGTTATTGCTGGTCACTCCTCTTAAGAAATGCATTTCCTTTGGAAAAGGAGTGTTAGAGAAGTGCTGGATTTCAAATGCCATCTTGCCGTTAAGGCGCTGCATTTTCAGGCTTTATAGTCAAGTTTACTTCCAAGATTTTACTTTCGAGACCACAGTTTGTGCCAGAGCAGTTCTCTGTAATGAGCTGCAACTATTGTACAATATAATAATCACGTGCCTTGTATGGAGGGTTTTGTTTCAAGCTGCTTGGAAAAAAAAAAAAAAGTCAGGGATATGCTCTGAAAACAGTCGGGACACTTCTCCACTTGCAAAGTTTGTTGTGTGTCTGCCCTTAAGATCCTAAATCTCTTTGCTGTAAGTAGCTGTGTGGAAAGTTACAAGTCTTGCTTAGCTGTTTACATGTGCTACTACCTTAGGGACCAGCAAAGAAAACCTAAATTGGCAAAATTAGAAAGAATAACAGGTTCACAGCAGCTTTCTTGGGAAACTCACAAGATTTCACCTCTTCCTTTTGACTCCATCAGTATTCCTGCTATTTTTCCCATCCCCTGTTTTTTTGCTTAATTTACTATTGTTGTTACTAATTATAATATGAATAACTGCAGTAGTTTTTCATTCCGTCTGATAGAATACACTTGTTCAAACTGTTCACCTGATGACGTGAGTCAGGCCAGTCCTCTGAGCTGAGCTGGCCTTCAGCAACCTGGGTATGTGCACAAATGTTACCAGCTCTGGCTGGCAAAGTGATCCTGTGGTGGTTTTAATTCAGGTGATATTATGCAACAATTTATTTGGCCCGGGGGAGAGAAGTTTGCTTTTTCTCTTCCTTCTGGGTGATTCAACATTACGGGTGCTGCAGACATTTGTGTTCCCACCAGCAGAGGTTAAGAAGTTGGTCTAGCTCCCACTGGAATCGATTCCAAGTGAAGTTTAATGAACTCTTATAAATAAATTTATAAAATGAATGATCCTGTTCACTGGAGTCCATCTGTGCAATCCAGAATTAACTTCTGGAGCCTTGGATGTTGTGCCAACGTGATTCAGTTTGCTCCTAACTTTTAAATCAGTGTGTAATTGCAGGTGTCATACTGCAGTTCCCTTCATGCAAAACACTGGTTACGTGTGGCCATCTGAACACTTCCAGGAATTTTTAACTTTCCTGTCACAGTCGTATAATTGTTAAACGAAATAGTCTGATGTCAGATTGCTCTACTGTTGCAATTCTTGGAATTCAGATTATAAACCAGCTTACTCTTCACCTGAAATAAAATATGAATTCTTCTTTCACCACCTTTGTAAAGGAATTCATAGAATTGCTGTTATGTCCAAGACATGCTGTGGAAGGCTTTAATAGTATGTGTTTTTTCAGTTGTGTGTTAGATGTTTATGATCTATCAGCCCAGGTTTCACTGGGTGAAATCCTGCCTGCCTCACTGCCAGGTCTGTTTTCACTAATAACACAAAAAGCAGTGGAGCCAGGGTTTTGCCTCGAAGCCTTGGCTGGGAATTTTCTAGCTTCTTAGCATGCCACTTTGCTGACATCCTTCTTGGTACAAAGGAATATCACTTGATGGCGATTCATATGAATTTAATTTGTAGCGTGTTTACTCACTCGAGCCATCCCAGGAAAAATCTGCTGGCTCAGACCACACATCACTGCTGTGGTACTTGAGTGCAGTTCTGCAGAGCTCTGCAGGATCTTTTTACCACAATGATGATGGTACAGTATATTGTGAAAGTAATTGTAATGTGCAGTATATAATTACGTGTAATGTATAATTATTTCATAATAGAGAATTGTAGTAAGTATTGCAAAGGTAATTAAAATGTTGTTCACTCTTATATTTTTAAATTCCCCGTTATCACCTTTCTTTGACTTATAAACTAAGAAAAGTTAATTGTTCTCTAACATAGTATTAAAATGAAGTCTTACTTTATTCTTTGTTTCGTTTTCTTTCCAGGTGGAGGTGTAGCTGTTGGAACCCTTCTTCTTATTGGTTAGTATAGAATATATGTTAAAGTATTCAATAAATAGCCTGGCTTTTCACTGTGTTTTGAAGTCAGACTTTAAGGAAGTGTAACTCTCAGATCTCTTCACTTTGTGTAGCTTTCAGAGTGGACTTCTGCACATTTCAAGATTTACTGGAGGTGAACCGAAGCCTTAATTTTAGACACACTAAGAATACCCCAGAGTTCTGTTTGAAGGGATGGTGTTCAGCACATTCCAGGACTACCCAGCAAAATATTTCGATTAGCAAAGATTTTTTTAACTACTTGATTTCCTCTAAGATTCAGACTGTCTGTCATCACTAAGGGTTGGGGGTTTTTTTGTAAGTTTGGCTGTCCGAGGAAGATGTTCAATCTTTTAATCTTCTGGTTGTCAGAATCAGCTGAGAGACGATGGAAGCCTTTCTGTGAGGATGTGGATGAAGGGACACTGATGTGGAAAACATCTGCATCTGTGACCTGAGTTCACAGCTCGAGTAGTGTGACAAATTTAATACTACCTTTTCATCCCAAGTTGCTGGAACAAAAAAAAAAAAAAAAACTAGGATCCTAGGGACAACAGGTCTAACTTTTAGTTTTCCAGTCACTGCAATACCTCTGAACTGTTGGAGCCTAAAAAGTCGAGTGATTCTTTTCTCCCACTGACTAAGATGTAAAGTTCCTCAATTTCCTGATTTGTAGGACTGACAAAAACCTATCCCATTGCAAAGCTGTTTGAATTTAGGAATTTAATCTCCCTATCACTTGGAAGTATTTTTGGGAATGCTGTTTACAATTCCTTGGCCTGGGATTTATTCGATGGCAAAACCATCGTGTGTCCAGTGACAGGCACCGGTAGCCAAGCAGCTCTTCAGAGTGTGGCTCTTTAGCCTTAAGACAGATTGACTCAGTAATTTTCATTTATTTTCTGAAAGGCACGAAAACATTGTGGTAAAGGAAGAAGGAAAAAAGGAATGTTATATCCTGTAATATTTTACACAGATCACAGATTATGACACTGGATTAATTTTGCTTCGTCTTCCCATGACAATATTTGCTGCCAGTTCATGTAGACAAAACCGGGTGTCATCAGACGAACCCACTAGCTGGAAAATTGTCATTAAATAAAAGGAGGTTGTTCTGGAGCAGTGGTGGGTGTGAAAAGCAGTTGTGACCTCAGTGGACACTGGGCAGGGTGATGGAAGGGAAAAGCTGTTTGCTTTCCTTGGTCAGTGTTCTAATGGAAGAGATGGCTTGTGGCTGGTAGGTTTTAATTTACTTATCCTTACATTGTTCTGTATTTGTGATCTGATATTAAACTGTGCTTCACGTCTCTTTCACATCTGAAAACTAAATTTTTTTTTCCCCCCAAAATAAGACCTATGTCATTTTGGAACGTGTAATTAGATACAAGAAGTCTTAAGGCAGGAACTATATTTATTCGTGACTCATTAGTCTAGAAATTTTTAGATTAATTTTTGAAGTCGGTGCAGGTAGAACTGTAATTGCATTGTTAGGATATCCTGTCAGTATACCAAAAAATTCTGTCATGAGATTAGTCTAGGCAAGCTTAATATTATCAGGATTGAAGCTGTCAGTGATAAACCTCCTAGGAAGATCTTTCTGTGTTGTATTCCAAGTGTTATAAAAAGGTTAAATTCTTCCCCCCTTCCTTCGACATTCTCTAAGGCAAGAATAAATTGCATTACTTTTAGCTTAGCTCCCTTTGCAAATTAAATGCTCATCTTCATTATTTGACACATTATCTTGGTTAATTTAACCAAATAATAGTAGATTCAGGGTATTAAAATATTTATTTTAACTGTTGTGTTCTGAGATGTAGTAATGGCGCAGGTTACTTGCTAAGACCGGAAAATACTGTTTGAAATCTAAGTGTACAATTTTTTAAACTCAATTCTTAATAAAGAGCACCGTGATTTTCAGTTGAACTTAATTCTGTAGTATATTCTTTTGACAGTGTTTTAATTATATGAGAATTAGAGAGCTGAGGCATACGGTAACCTCATCCCAGATCCTGGTTACTAGAGGAGCTCAGAACTTGGGTTTTGTTCACATAACAAGAATTTTTAGGATTTTAACCAGTACTTTATTTTTAAAAAAATCTTCCTGTGGTGGGCTTTGTAACAGGCATTCTGATGTGGCACCATCAAACCAGGTTGTTCAATGGAAATGAAAAACTACTTTCAGCTTTCCAGAAGAACCTCCCCTTCCAAAACAAGTTGTGTGGCTGTTGGTTAAACCCTTCGACCTGTTTTGTGTCTGCTTTGCCGGCCTGGGGAAGAGTTTCCAGAAGGATGTTTACTTTGTTTTTAAACATAAGCCTTGTTCATGTGACACGTTCTGCGTGGTGAGTTACAGCCCACTCAAAATCCATCTCTCCTGGGTGCTGTGTAAGAACCTATTCTTACCTACCTTTAAGTTTTGACAAGGTCACTGACAGCTAAATGTTTTAAAGATTATCAGTAGGAGGGTTTTCGTTGGTAGCTGAGGTCAGTTATTAAAAGTTGAGGATGTCTGGTTAAAAGCAGGTCTATACTTGTACATTCTAAGCCTTGAGGCAGTTTCAGCTACTTTAATTAGCTACTATTATTTTTGTTAGACGTGCAGTTTAACCTGACTGGTAAGAGCTCTCTTCCCTTGTCAATAGAACTGAATGTATCTTCTTTTTTAAAGCTGAGAAAGATAATCTCGAGAGAGGTTACAAAACAGTGATTTGCTGAAATATAATTCTACAAAATACCAGTTACCAGAATTCACCCTCCCGAAGTTATGGCCAAATGCCAAATATTGTAACTTCTATGTTTGACAACCCCGTTTTGGCATGTGCTAATTAAATGCAAGTGACACAAACTATATCCCCTCCAGCTTAGTAAACGTGGACACTGGAAAAGTATCTTTTAACTGGAATTCCAGATTATTAAAATAATCGCATCTTGTAACCCGCAGCAATTCAGGGAGATGTTTCATAGCCACAGAAAGACACACCTTAGGTCACAGGACCCCACTGTAGAACTATCTGGTGGAAAAAAAACTATCGATACTGATAGGCCATGACAGGCTTTTGGCAGCTTTAGGGCAACCTGTCTAGACTTTGTACAGAGGGGAAAAAAATAAGCTGCCTGTACATTACATTGTTGCAGTGCTACTTTTCCCTTTTACAGCCCCACCATTTGAAGCAATTATACTACAAATTACTGCTGGACTTTTGCAAAGACCTCCCTGTTGTTTATTATTATATAGATGTTTAAGAGCCAGGTGTTATATAAATATGAGCGTATTTATTTAAGTATTTGTTACCTTATGGCGGGTTTTGTTCCTGACTTTTTGTTCCTCCTCAAGTTCTAGAGCTTGTTCTGTATCCCTCTCGTGAAACATGAAAACCTCTGTGCAGAGGGGCTAGTTATGGTTAGAGACATTTTTGTTGTTTACATATCAGTCACATATTTATGGATCAGTTCTTATAATTCAATTTTTTCCCTAATTTTTAGATAAATTATATATTTGCAGTGCCTTAGTGATCTCAGTGTCCAGATAAAATCCAGGGCCTTAAAATTTTACACCTAATTTCTTTGAGTGGGAGCTACAGACAGTCTGTGCACGAAGGTGTTGAGAATGTCTGTGGTGAAAAGAGCCATAAATAGGAATCGGTCTTTATCCTTAAGAGTCTGATTTGTTTAAGTGCCTTATTAGCTGGAAGTGAAGTTCACGATGGAGGCTGCTGATGGGACAGCTCTTTGCTGTGGAGGCTGAGAATTTGGGCCAGCTTGGTTTGTCTCAAGTCCTTGCCTGACTGAAAGGAACTCGAGTGTTAAGTTCCTGCACGTGCAGAATGAAGGTGGTTCTGTTGGGAATTTCGGGAAAGTGAAGGTAACAGCTGAAAATTCACCCCTAGCCATCAAAATAGTAAGCCCAAGCCTTACCAGAGAAGCGTTTCATTCCGTGATTCCGTGAAAATAATCAGTGAGGTACCTGTGCCAGATGATTTGTTTGTTTATTTACAAGAAGGAAGGAAACTCCTGTGGGTTTGAATAGTAACCTAACTACTGAAGGCAGGGGACAATGGATGCTATCAGAAAAGCCCCAGATGGGTGCACTTTAGATCTTTTGAATGCCACAGAAGTTTAGTGACCTAGAAATGAATCAATAAAAAGCCATCCTCTATCTGACAAATTGAAGAACTGAGGGATTCTTACAGATGCGTTGGCTTTAACAATTCCAGATACACTGGTTGTAAAGGCTTTCTGAGACGCATTTAATCCTCAGAGTACTGTAGCAGACTATGAGGTGGTTTATATTTAGATCACTCTCCAATACCTAATTTCCTATTTTTACTCCCAAGTTTGCCGTTATGAAAGTCAGTGTCAGCAAACCAAAGGAAAGGCTGGAATGATGTGTCCTTACACTGGATATTAATACCTTTAATTTGCTGCGTTGAAAATGCCTTATTGTTTTGCAAAATGTGTTTTGGGTATGGCAGTGTAAGAACATCCCTAGTCCTCTTATGTTACAGATAAGTCAACGAGTCATTGAAATTAATTATCATCTTGATTAAGTCAGTAAAAGGGTTTATATCCCTCATTGCTTTGCATCTACAGTTTAACGTTTCAGCATTTCAAATAAAATTTGAGTGAAAATTCTTCTTTACTACAACAGACCTGTTTCCTCCTAGTTTGGTTAAATAATCATCAGCACGCAGTGTGATTTCTTACATTTATGCGCTAGTTTATGGAGTTTGTGTGTTGTGTTTGGCACAAAATTGAGCATGTTGTTTGCTTTCTAAGGAATAATTAGTATCAAAAATGATGATCCAGAAAGACTGAAAACTCTACAATAGACTGGATATATCAATGGCTAGTACTAGTAATGATGGTGCTGTAATTATTGTATTCCCTTTGGCTTCTTTGGATATCCAGTTTTATTTAATCTCCTGTCTCAGTGATGTGTTATGAAGCATTTTTCTCTACCTTGAAATACTGCTTTGGAGTCGCTTTTAGTTCATTTCTTGGGTTTCATGAAAGGGAAACTCTTAAATAAATATTTCTCCTTACAACAAAATATGTAATCTCGATGCTGTATCTTTAGGGATGATTATTATTATGAAGAAAGGAGAAATTAAAAATGCAAACCTTCCAAATTTTAAATGTATCCCAAATACTAAATTTAAAAGTGAAATTAAAAAAAAAAAAAAAAAAAAAAAAAAAAGGCAGGAACTAAATTCTGTTTTACTTAATATCCCACGGAGATGTTGGGGAATATCTCTTGGAGAACTACTTCTTTTGCAGTGATTTTTGAATACTTGTGGTTTTAAAGTTATGATAAGTTTTAATTGCATGAAGTTCACTAAGATTTTCTGATTCTGCTAATTTCTGATACTTAACTTGCAGTAAAGAAGCTGAAGGAAATATTGACCTTTCTGAAGTCAGTGGGAGTTTGCATTTTCATGTCTCTTAACAAGCATTGTCTCATTTCTTAAACTGTAAATTCCTGTGTCTTTCGAGTGTGTTCCTGCTTTTGCTCTGGTTACCTTTCAAAACCAGTGTTGGAAATAACCTGTTTTTTCAAAATAGACATTGGGTTTGCCTGGGTTTGTGGCTTTCACAGCTCTGAAAGAAATGCAGATGTAAGAATGTCTCTGTAATAAATGAGACCTCTGTATAGCTTCAGCATGCCTAAATACGGTTGGATTTTGAAAAAGCATCGATATTTTAAGCAAGTTAATATTTTAAGCACTGAGGACGTAAGTATTAATATAATTCTCCTATATTAAAAACCTAAAAACCCCATCCCATGAACCCATAAAATTCATACATACAGGTGGGTGATTTATCTGACAACAAAATAAAACTCCAACCATTCTTGTTTTCACAGAGGAAGATAAATACGGTCTCTACTCCAACTTGTTGTTCAAGTATTTTCTTGCAGAGGGAATTGTCTGTGGGCATGACCTGTTTGTTGCTTCTGCTAAGGAGCATCCTGACAACATCTTGAAGGTAAATAAAGACTCATTGTTTTTGATAAGTGGAGCTGTAATCTCTTGATGGGACTTAGACGCATTTTAAGGAGTGTGTGTTGTGTAGGAACAAATTAATTCACCCTGGTGGTTCATAAGGACAGGAGTATTTGCAGTAGCCAGATATGGGAATTAAATTTAGCTCCCTGGCTTCCACCTGCAGCAGAGTAAGATCCTCCCAAGGCTAAGTCAGGCTTGGAGCCAGCTTGTCCTTTGTTTTGGTTGTGGGTGAAAACCAGACAGACTTGCTGGATTAGTGGAATGGTTTGAGTAAACCCAACTCTTGACAGTTTTGAGTGGCCTGTCAGGAAGAGTAGTTAAGAGTAGTTAAGTCCCTTAACCAGTATGTTGTGGTGGAAACAGTGCACAGTTTGTGTAGGTATCTACTGTAGTTTCCCACAGAGAATAAAAATGCCATTTAAGATATTTATAAGTTCCTTTTAAGCTTATATTTCGTTCTGACTCTTTTTTTTGTGCTCGGGAACGTGGTCAGCTTTGGGTCAGGTCATGCAGAAAGGATCCTTTCCGACTTCAGGGGACTCCTGATCAAACACTGATAGTTCCTGTTATAAGAAAATTATATAAGGGAAAAAAACCCGATCAACAGTGCAAAAAAATGCTGAAGTGTGAGGATAATCTTACAAAATTTCATTA